GGAGGAGGAGGAGGCGGCGGCGGCGGCGGCGGCGGCGGCGGCGGCGGCGGCGGCGGGTGGTAGTCGGGGTTCAGGAGTGCGGTTAGTGTTGATTTTCGACGTTGGCGGCAAGGCAGATGTGGAGGGGGAGACATCGGGTGGTGTCGTCCGAGTGCCGCAGTTGGTACGAAGAGGTCCAAAGAGATCGATTGGTGCCCGAAACGTCCACTGGCACAGTGGGCAGGTCGGGGCGGTTGAGTGTTGTTGTTGCGATGCGGGGGACAATTGTGAATTGCGAGTTTCGCGGTTGGCTTTCGCGGCGACTATGCGGTTTTTCCCGTAGACCGTTCCGCCTGTCTTCACTGTCCTTCACCAGGTCAGCCGTTCCAGAGCGAGGTCTTGCCAGTTGGCAGCGTTGATTTGCAGGTGCTTCAGTGAGGTCTTCAAAGTATCGTTGAAGCGTCGGATTTGGCCTCTTTCGCGGCGGAAACCCGTGGCGACACCTCCATGGAGGCGTCGTTTGATTAACCGCTCGTCGTCCCTCCGCACGAGGTGGCCGCTGCAAGGCACTAAAAAGCAGCCTACAGCTATAGACACCATATGCCTATTGTATTCTAAATATTCGTAGGAAACACTTCATTTTTCACAAACATAGTTGAGTAATGGCATTTACCGCCGCCTAGAAAAGAACCGCAACGAGCCAAACCACAAAATTCTCGAAGTTCAGCTTCGTCGGTAATCCTTCGCAGCTAACGGGCACCACGACATATATGTGAAGTGGTTGAGTGAAGACCCAGTGGAAGAAACCCGAGGGTGAGATTAGGATTGGAGTTCTGAACCGCCGTGTTCACGTTACGGGTGCGTTCCAAAAATTCGTAAAAATGGTGGGGGAACTTGGGACTGGAGTTTCTTACAGGCTGGAAGCGACAGTCGGCCAGCAGCTCAAGATTCCTAAGTACCCAATGCCGACTGATAAAAAATCTGAAGCCATATATTGAACCGAATAAAACAGTGGCCAAGCCAGGTTTTGTGGCGAAATCAGAAAACAAGATCAAAGGAGACTGCACTA